TTTAAAACACATGCTAGGGCCTAGAATGTGTTATTTCTATCCCTATGATGTGTATTAATTGGTATATTTATGATTCATTCAATATGGGCTTGCTTCTGTATCAGGAACCCACAGAGCAATCAGTAGCATGTGAAGTCCTTTAGCTTTGGACCAAATAGCTCACTTTGAAGGTTGCAGCATGACTTCACAAGATTTCTTTAGTTTACTGTGTGTTGTTCATTCAGCTTTTTAGGGCCACAGAACAATGTTTTAATCATTAGGCCCACTAGCTACCAGGACCAGGAGAGAAGGAATGAAAGGCAATTGTTTACCTCTGATACCAAACAGTAGTTTAAAGCCAATGTGAAATGACAGTCATTGTGTATTTTTCTTCTGTATTATGACGTATTTCTGAGTGAAAGACAGTATCAGGGAGAGTCTCTGAGTTAGCTAAGGGATTTTTTAAGGGATTGATGATAAGTGGGAGAGGAAGGAGAAGCATGATAGTATTGCTCAATGTTATTTGTCCTCACACGCTGGTGAACTGCCAAGTAAACAAAATCAGGAGACGTTTTCACAGCAGGCAAAATATCACTACATTTTGATGGAAGATTACAGGAAAACAAGATTTTTTTTCTTTTAAATGGTGTGATATCACAAATCATGCTTAACATGAAAAAGGACAGCCACTTTAACAATGGTGGACGCTACAGATTATGATGTCTGTTTTGTTTTTATATGTAAATGTTTGTCTTGGATTTTCTAACTGAAGATATATGTTTTCAAATAGATAGAAATGGCATGATGTGTGTGAACATGAAGAAGAGTCAAATTCTGAGGGGAGTCAGAATTTGGCACAACACCTATTGTCTAAAATGGCTGCCATTCAGCTCCACGGTGAGGTTTTGTGCTTTTTCATTCTTCACAGTAAATCATACTGTGTCCTAAACCACACTTAGAAGTCTTCTTCAATGAAGAGCTGGTTTTGTGGTTTGAGAGAAGTTTTGAGGATGTATTTATGGGAAAGATTTGGGTGACTATTGACTTCTAGTGTTTGTTAATGGTTGCTTGATAGCTTTAGTGCTAAACTAAAGAAGCAAAATTTGGGCAGCAAACTAATCTGCTAATGGGACAAGGGAAAAATTGTGTACATTTGATGATGGGTACGCTGACCCATACTATTAAAATGACTATGATGTAAAGCAAACCAATTGCACATTTGGCGTCATTTTACATGCGTCATTTTACATATAAAGTAATTGAGTTTGTTGGTATATATTTTTCTTACAAGTGCAGCAACAATAAATGGGCTTGATTGTCCATCTAATGAGGCTTTATGTTACTAAAACTTTTATTGTAAGCTCAGCCTGTCTCAGTTCTTCATCCAGGAACTTTGATAAAGGCCAAATGGAATTAAAATGACATATTGAATTCAATGACGCGAGACGTGACGTTGATCTGAAGACAGTTGGAGGTTTGAAGGTAAGACATAAATAATTAGCTAGTTCAAACTTTGTTTTGCACATAACAATGTAATAATGTTATTCACCAGTCAGAGAGATTTCAAATTAAACTTTTCATGGAACAACTGAAAATTACTACCTTTTTGGTTTCATTCCTAGCAAAGGAGAGTTTGTTTCTGGTTTTCATTTGTGTTCTCTGAAGTGCACTGGCTCCGCTCATGATGAATCTGAGTGTGAACCCCGTCAGCTCAAATTTCTGCCACATGATCAACAGCTTAGCCAGTCAGTATCCATCAGTTGGTCTGGAGGTTAATATGAAAACGGTTAGTGATGGTGCAGGTTATTCTGCAGATGAGGTCATACATTACCACATCGTTTGCTAGTGGCTTTAACAGGTCTGCTTAACCCAGGCAGCCTCCCTCTGTTCACCGCAGGCTAATGTATGCACGCTTGAATATGTATGTCTCTCAGTACTAATTATAGCTGGCATATATTTCCTCAGCCTGAGAGAAATGTAGCTACCTCGTTGTGCAGGCAGAAAATGATGATACAGAGTTTTGTCAGTAGGAGGTATGAGAGGGATATTGTTATGGTGATTGTGAGATGGAGATGATGATGATGAAGATGATGATGAAAATTAGAATGAACATGATTAACGTGATTGCTGTTTTAGCATTAGAGGCTGCCAGTCAAGTGTGTGCCAGGTTTGCAAATGGAACCGAGAGGAAAATGAAGTGTGGTCAGATCTTTCACAGATACACACATGCACAGGGATCTGAACGCTGTCTGGGGGCTGTGTTTACACAAGCTCTTGCAGTTATTAACTAGCAAGCACTCTGAGATAATGCTACAGTAATGCTGGAGAGCTGTAGCAGCAGAGGAGTTATCTGTGTTTGACCCTCTTTTCATCAACTCCCTTTAAACCATTTGGCTAGGAGGCTGCAAGCTCCAGCACTTTTTCATTTGGGGAGACAAAAAGCTGTTATTTACACCTTGATATTAATAGATGCTCTCATGATTTATTTAATATGAGCTTGTTTCTGTTCCTCTCCTTCTGTCTGTTAAGTGACTCGCACTGTGTCCCCAGGGAACAAGCAGAGGAACAGTCATCCCCCTATCTGGGGAATGGAGTGTGGAGTCCTGCTTTAGGTCATTCTCTCTCACTCTCTTTCCCTCCCTACCTCCATTTTATGTTCTAAAAGCCTCCCTCCTTTTTGGAACAGATAAAAGAAAATGGCATCATTGGTGGAGATGCTGGCAGAGAACATTGTCGAGGTTTTTGTGTGTAGGTTTAGTGAGTGAATAATGAAATGATGGAATAAAATGAGCTAATGTGATGATCTCTTAATGCTGGATGTTGTATTGATGGATAAGTTGTACAGTCAGTGAGTGTCTGAGTGCAGTGGTCTTCTGTGTGGCTGCAAGTCATATTGATCAGCGACTGCGCTGCCATCATGTCTTACTTAAATGGATCAATGTGCTTCAGCTAAAGTGTGTTCACTGAGAATTATTTATTTATTTATTTTAAAGGAAAACTGATATTTCAACTTTGAAATGAATTGTAAATATATTGTAATTTTCATGATTAAAACTTCTTTCTTTCTTTCTTTCTTTCTTTCTTTCTTTCTTTCTTTCAAGGCAAAGTACTACTGACAGAAATGTCTTTGTAGTAACAACAACATTTACACAAATGGTGCATGCTATCTGAGATCTGATTCATTCTTAAAATCATTTTTCTCAAAATCACCTTTTTTCTACATTCAGAAACAAAAATCTCAGCTCGTATAACAGCTGAATTTTACATTAAATTTTACATTAACTGCTGAACTTATTTTAAAATAAATTACAGATGACTTTCTTAACATATAGCTCATAGTTGGATTTATGATAAATAATATATTACAAAATTACTTTAAAATATTTTAGAACAGTAGTTCATGGTGTCTTACTTATTTGACTTAACAATAAAACATTGATTTCAATCACCTGTTTTGTAAAATCTTTTCTCTGGAGGGTGTCATTGCAATGAAATAAACATTTTAATTCTAACATTTGTTTTAACTATGCAAATGTATGTATATTTAAGTGGATATGGCGCAGTGGGTAGCGCTGTCGCCTCACAGCAAGAATGGCCTGGATTCGATTCCTGGCCGGGTCGACCAGTGTCGTTTCTGTGTGGAGTTTGCATGTTCTCCCCATGTCTGCATGGGTTTCCTCCGGGTACTCTGGTTTCCTCCCACAGTCCAAAAACATGCAGTCAGGCTGATTGGACATGCTAAATTGCCCCTAGGTGTGAGTGTGTGTGTGAATGTGTATGTCTGTCTGTCTGTCTGCCCTGTGATGGACTGGCGACATGTCCAGGGTGTATCCTGCCTTCTGCCCAATGACAGCTGGGATAGGCTCCAGCACCCCACCGCTACCCAGAAGGATAAGCGGTTTAGATGATGTATGTATGTATGTATGTATGTATGTAAGATACGTCTAAGAATATCAGTAATCAGCTGGTGAAGATTCATTGTATCTATTTTTTTGAAAAATTACCTTTTTCACCTGTAGTGTCTCACGTCTAAAACTTCTATTTCAGCTTTGAAATAGAGGGTAAAAATTGTCCCATTCTCCTGATCCCTCCATTTCTAAAGACTGTTTTCTCCTCACGTCAGGAAAACACATTTTACGTTCACCAAAGCTCTTAGACACATGAAATTTGAGGCGTGTGCTGAAACTTGTGCTTGTTTTGCAGAAGTGATGTCTGAGTCATCTCCTGTGGTTAGGAAGCAGTGTGTATAATTCTACACTCTCTGCTTGTCAGTCAGTTTAGGATGCTATCTTGATAATATCTTAATTGAGCTGAGTTGTTTGGATTCTGCATATGTGCTAAAACCCACATGTCCTGAGCCTTTGCTGATGACTCATCTCTCAACAATTGTTTTTGACAAAGAATTTTATACTACGATTCCCTGCGACTTGAGTGCTCTCTCTGATTCAGCATCATCTAAGACTGAAGCTAAGAAATAAGCATCTCCTCAATGCCTTATAAACTATAAGAATAATTAAAATCCCAGGCTTATTACATATTAAGGCTTATTATTCAGTAACTGCAGAGATTTCAATACAAAAAAAAAGTTGTAGAAGTATACAACAAAACTGGCCATTTAAGGGGTTCAGGTGCACCCATTGCTGACACAAGCATTAAACAGATTTTATAGTCTCAATTGGAAAGCATTATCAGTAGAAGGGGAACTCTATATCAGCCATACATGAGCCTGAGCTCATTATCAAAGCTAATGACAAGGCCTTCCAGCATTGAGCTGTGGAGCAGTGGAACTGTGTTCTCTGGAGTGATGGGGCACCATCGGATACCTTTGGGATTTGTTGGGGTGGTATTTATAGTCCTCATAGAAGAGTGGGGACTGTTACTGAAGCAAAGGGGGGACAAACTCCATATTAAAAACCTCGATTTCAGAAGAAACACTGGATAAGCAGGGGTCTACAAACCTTTGGACATACAGCACGTTTGCCTCATATGTATCTTTCTTTCTGTTCCTCTTGTTTGTGTAGGGAGGCCACTTAGTGAAACTGAGAGTGAAGATGTCCAGGACCTGCTGGCACTGTGGATGACCTGGCAGGTGAGTGAAAATAGAAGACACGCTGACAAGCACGTTTAGCTGATCTGATGGCAGATATTGTCTTTTGTCTATTAGGTGAGAAGTAATAAGGAGAGTAGACTAACCTGAAATTAGGCACATATTTGTAACATTTAATGAGAAACAGCTCAATATTAGCACAGGTGTTAGTCTTCATTTTTCATCTGCCTATTTTGCATATTGATTGACTTGCCTAGTGTAAGTGATTCCATGCATGATCGATACCATACATGATGTACCATAACAGTGAACTCATAACATAACAATGAAAAACCATATTCCATCTTTTTGGATTATCAGGATTAGATTCTTATTTTGTTTTCTGTTTTTTTTTGTAGCCCTTCCACATTAAAAGCCAAACTATGCTTCATTTACATTTTTAGTGACCCCTATATTTTAGATCATCAAACAATGCCATGCATGCTTATGATTTTTACAAAAAATGTCACATATACTGTTTATTGTTGCAAGGGCTCAATGAATGACAGAATTCTTATATATCAGAGTTATTGTATTCATATATATTGGTATCACAATAAGCCTGGGAATATATTTAAGCACATCAAAGAATCTTTGATTCATAATTAAAGACGTTAGTTAATGGCATTGTTTTGACCAAAATTATTTGCATTTGTTGGATGCCTGGATTCATCAAAACACCCATATCAACTAATTCAAAACATCTGTGATTGGTCTGAATGTTTGTGGCATACAATAAAAGCCCTGCAGCTTTCACCTACTATGGTTAGGGAATGCTGAAATGCAATAGGGGAACTCTTAATGGTGAGTTGGTAAATTGGTAAATAATTAAAAACAAATTCAAAATGGTTTTGGACATTTGCCTCACATGCATCTTCTTTCTGTTCTTCTTGTTTGTGCAGGGAAGCCACTTAGTGAATATACAATACTATGCAAAAGTAAGAGACCACCCTTTGTTTATTTAATTTGTAGACATAACTGCCATTAAGTAAACGCTTTTATAAGATATTTCTGCAGACATTAGATATGACATAATCCACTTGTATAAGGAAGAGCAAAGTCAAAGAAAAATAAATGGAAAAAAAAAGAAATGTCCAAAATTGGAGTTCAAAAACTATTTAGAGGAATTGGGATTACAAGCAGAACCGGGTAGACCACCAAAACTGTCACCATCAGATAAGAAGTACTTAACGCTTTCATCTTTGTGAGAAAAGCAATGGAAGTAGACCAAAAAGAGAAGAAAATTTGCAAATCAAACTAAGAAGCTACTGGTGTTCCCTCCCAATCCAGACCTCAACATCATTGAATGTATTTGGGATTATTTGGATTGTGAGAAGGAGAAAATGCAACCAACTTCTAAGACTGAACATTGAACGTGTGGAAAAATATCCCTGCAGATTTCTTTGAAAACCCGAAAACAAGTCTCCTGACAAGAAAGTTGTAATAAAGGTAATAAAGAGTGGACACAATAATTACTGAAAAAAGTCTGTTAAATATATGTTTTCAGCTTTTTTTTTTTCTTTTTGTGGTGCTTGTACTTGGACTGGAAGTTGATGGGTAAAGGACGGTCTCTGACTTTTGCACAGCGCTGTATGTGTAAACATTTATCTATTATAAACTTTTAGGCTGTAATGTCTGCGATGCTACAGTTCCAATTGGGCTGTTTGTTTGTTTATTTACCTCAGATTAATCCTTGTAATGGCTTCTAGCAAAGTGCATTTGTACATTTTTCTAGATCAGATAAGCTGCCTTGTGTTGTCAGTTTATCTTTAGCTGACTGAAACCTATGCTTGAGGAATTTTTAGTCCTTGGCTTCTCTTTTCCTTCATCCACCTCTTAGCTTTGAGGGGAAAATAATGGTAGTGTACCAAATTTGCCCTGGCTGTGCATTCCCCAGAGAGGCCAGTCAGGGTCAGCTGATTAGAAAGATAATATAAGGTTTTTTTTTCTGTTTTATATATTTTTCCCTCCAATATGTGGCTTTTTCTAGCTTTCCCCAGGAGGCAACAATCATATAAATAACAGATGGTGACACTGGAGGGCAACTACTCCCTCGTCTAAGTGTTTATTTCATCTGCTTTGTTGATTTAAGCAGTACAGTGAATATTAGATGCATGCAACAGTAATCTGTTTCCACAGAATAGTGCTCAAGTGTCATGCATATTGACATTTGATCAACATAAATTGAATTAACTGGATCACTCTCAAGGTTTATTCCTGATTTCATGACAGAGACCTTGGGATAATTTGACGATGAACATGAATAGAGGTGTCTCACTATTGTTCAAGAGTGGTCACAAGGGAGAAGGTCCATTGTAAGGCCAGCCACAGGGTCAACCTGCTTTAAATCGATAGGATATTTGTGCATAAAAGTGTAATAGAAAGGATGTAATGTGTCAACTTGCTCTGTGATATCTTGTGGACAAGCCAGAGGAGGATCAACATTGTCACTGTACATTCAGATGTTCCTCATGTACCTTCACGTAGTTACATCCAGTACAAAAGACAGGTCTTTAGGTCTTTTAACCTGAACTCAACTGGAAAAGAACCAGGTAGTCTCTGAGAATACATTCTTTTTATTTAAATGATTACAGAGAGAGATGTGTAGAGTAGCCTAATTCCATACTCAACCATATTTTCAGAAAACAGCAGAGTAGAAATGCAGGTCAAAAAGTACTTACATGCTGAATATTATTACAATTGAAGTGGACCATCTTAGTACATCCAGCATCTATCAGTATAGGAACTAAAGTTTGTTAGCAGATGTTCTTCTCTTTATGTGATACTCGTGGTCTAAAATAAAATGCTAACACTCCAAAACTGGAGATGTGATTAATCACAAAGCAGTACAGATGCTATCATTAACATAACATAATGAATTTAAACAAAAGGAATTAGTAACTACATGTTAATGACAAAGGTGATGAAGAAGTGGATTCCCTTTCTCGCTTCTTGAGTAGAAGTAAAAGTATTATCATTTGGAAACATTCATTGAAGTACAAATTCAAAAAAGACAGTATATTCCAAAATGTATGTATTTTTGTGTGGGTATAAAGTTCTCTGCAAAAGTTAAATAATTTTTCATTGTCTTTTAAATATATGTTTCCAAAATGCAGGAAACATATATTTAAAAGACAATAAATGTAATGAATATAATATCAACACTGAGGAAAATCAAAACTGTTAGTACTTAATTTGTCCACTCTTTCCTTTGAACTCTGCTGCCACTTTAACTCTTCCATCCTTCCAATCTTAAAACCAACTAGTTACATCTGTGTCCTCCCAACAAAAGCTGCTCTCAAAGCTCCCACTAACAATATGTTCCCCTTCAAAGAGACACTAACATTTACACACAAACATTTAACTACGCAAACTCACCTCAGCTGCCTTACACATTTCTTTCTCATGTACATCTAAAATGACTTAAGGAGATAAGATAGATGATGGTCCACTTTCATAAAAGAGGGGAATCACAAAGAAAAATAAGTGAAAAAGCAGAAAGTTAAAAAAAAATATTAAAAGATAGAGAAAAAATGTGACTCCTAACAGTCATGTGAGACCTGGTAGATCATCACCAGATAAACAGTACTTAAAGCTTTCATCTTTGAGAGACAGAAGAAAAATCTGAAAAAAGCCACAGTTGTGAGAAGACAACTCAACACTATGAGTCTGAATGGATATGTAGCTGTCAAGGAAATGGACAAAAATAGGAGACACACATTTGCACAAGAACAAACTCTAGAGAAAACCAGACATCTGAGACACAGAGAAATGTTTTTATGAACTGCTGAGTCTAAATTTGTAATTAAAATTACTTGGATTGTGAGAGACAGAAAATGCAACCAACTTCCAAGACTTTGGAGGTGTAGAAAAATATCCCTGCAGATTTTTAAAAAAAAAACTGAAAGCCTCCTGAAAGTCTCCTGAAAAGAATGGAAGCTGTAATAAAGGCAAAGAGAGGACTCACCCAATACCGAAATCCATGATATTGTATTTAGTTGTTGTGAAATTTTCTGCTAAATACATATTTTCTGCTTTTTCTCTGACACTTATAACTTATACTTATCAGTCGTTTTGACTTGAAATAAAAGAGGATAAACAGTAAGTACACTGAGGATCATTATTATGTCCAAGTGCACTTTCTTGCCTTTAAAAGACAACAGCCATGCTGTAAAACATATATATGCCACTGAGCGGGAGGTGCCCTGTGCAGCAGAGAAACACTCATCCTTACCTGCCTAATAATAGACTACAAACATCAAAGTGGTTCATGTATGAACTGGAATTCTGACTTTGTACAGATATCAAGCTCTTGAAAAAAATTTCCCTCCTTTTGAACCCACTTGTTAGTGTCAGTAGGCCAACACTTATGTAAGAAAGAAAACAACTTAAACCTCTAGAAAGCATGTGTCTGTTTTTTTAGTGTACCTTATGCCAAGTCCCAAAGTGCCACTGAATGGCACCTGTGCATCAGTGAATGCTGATGCACAGTTACCAATTCATCTTAGTGCATGCTGATAAATCCCATGGTTGACAAGTAAGGCAGTAAATTAATAGGATGGATTAGAACACAGCAGGTATTTCAGTGGAAATGCACATTGATGAGTAGATATCATTGAAATGAATCAAGGCAATTGCTGCTCCTTGCTGTCTGTTTCTGTGTGCAGCTATTTCCCAGTTCTTGGACTCTAATTGCCGTTTTAAGGTGGTGTAGTGGACATTACCTGTTTCTGCTTCACAGATGCAAAGTAACAGCAGCTCATGTGTTCATAAAGTGCTGCCATTTTCAGCTGCTTGCTTTTTAAAGAACAATTAGATTTCCAAAATGACTATTAAGCAACGATCCCCAATACTGCCCCGTTAATAGAATCTCATTTATCTATAGCTAATTGGAGGCTAATAGCTGTCACTTCTTTTTAGTCATGTTAACATGCAAATTTGACTTCGGCTTTGCTGTTATAAAGCAATGAGGGTGTTAGTGCTCAGGACAAAATGTGACCTTT